GAACTGATGTAAGGCTCTCCACCCAGAGAGGTGAGAGAAGCACTCAGCCCCAGACCCAGGAGGAGCTGTGGAAAAGGCCTGGGAGCAGATAGAACATAGACCCTGGGAGACAGCGCTAGTTAAGCTATCTGAGCTGGGTAGGCCCATGACTGTTTGGCTTATGGGGGGCTGATGGACTATTGAGCCTAGGGAAAGGCTGACGGTTGTTTTGTGTTTGGAATTCTGCTTACCCTGAAAGGGGAGGTCTCTTAATGCGTTTGGCCAAATAGTTAAACCCAAAATCACTCTACCAGCCTGGAAACGCCATTGAGAAGGGGGGAAATTAAGCCTGTGACTGCAACTCCATGGTGTGGAGCGGCCAGCTACTACTATGATGTCAGTGGAGAACTCCTGTGCTGCTGGTAAGCAATTATTATGTTCATTTTAAAGGTCTTCCAACTAATGTTTTACTCTTCTAGAAGTCCAGCATATGGAGTGGGAAGGAAGTCTACATGGGTGACAGGATTACAGAAGTATGGGTTGGACTTTTCAGCTGTGCCCTAGCCATGATGATGCAATTATGACACCTTTTAATGTTCAATGAGTACATTGTTTGTACCTTTTCTTGCTCATTGTGCACTATGAAGCATGGACCTTGTGGTAGGCATTAATGTTATTGTAATTGTTCAGGGAAGCACGTCATGCTAAGATTATTAGTAACTGAAGACTACCCAGGTGTATTCTCCCCATATTCTTCCATATTGTACTGTAGGGAGAATTGCTGATTCTAGAAAGCTTATTATGATTTCTGATGTGTTATGAAGTATTCTGGTGCTAACCACTAATGGTTTTATCTACTTGTAAAAGCAAAACTGTAAAGTTATGGTTGTAGGGAATATGTAATTCCATGATCACTTTAATTACTTGCAAAGTCACTTGTAAAGATTTTTAATGGAGTCAAAAATATTTTAAAACAATCTCATATAGTGTCTCTCCTCATTCATTTTTGCCCTCAGGAATAACATTCTCATGTGATAGCAATTTTCAGAATATTGAACCATGTTCTGATCTGGTTTTGCTAGTGCAAATATGGAATAACAATGGACTTACTACCGATCAGAATCTCCATCTGTCTTTAGGAAAGATGGTTTAAAT